CAAGCCAACTTCTGCGTTGGGCTGCAACATCCTGACTCTTGCCACAGAGACAGAAAAAAGCTACCACACCCACTAGAGTCTGTTTCTGCTCCAGACTCTCATGGGTACTAGCAACCAACGCTACATATTTTTGAAGGGGAAGATATATTCTTAGAAGTAAAGGTTTGGGCAGGTAACATTGAAAGGGGGTCCAGATGTAGCCCATAGGCTGTGGGAGTTCCCTACCCCAGCTGTATGGGAAAGAAAGTCAGAAGTTAGATAGGGATCTTCCATAGGTGAGTGCAGGGAGCATGCCAGAAAACCAAAATATGCAGCTGCTGTCACACAATTTTGCCACTTCAGAGGAGTTTGGACCAAGAGCTACTTACTAATGGGTCTCTTGTTAAGTGGTAGCAGTTGTCATTGCCAGCAGGAGCAGTGGCGTAGCGTGGGGGGTGCAGGGGGGGCCGGCCGCACCGGCCGCAACATCTGGGGTTAGGGCAAATCCACAGGTTAGGGGGCGCAAATCCACGGGTTAGGGGGTGCAAATTACTTGCCTTGCCCGGGTGCTGACAACCCACGCTACGCCACTGAACAGGAGACAGTGGCAAGGAAAGACTTGCAAAGCAGTTCCTGCCTTGCTGAAGAAGTCCTGCAAAAATGCCTTTATTGTTTCTGTTTTATCCAGATTGGAAGCCAGATTAAACATTACACTGCAGTCCAAGACTGTTGCTCACTGAGGACCTGAAGGGAAATAAGTCAGGCTCAGCCACTGTGAGCTTTTAAAAATAAGTGATTGAACTCTATGACCTAGGAGAGTATGTACCATTGTGAAGGTGACTCAAGTTCATCTGTTTCCATTATGGCAGAGGCCGGAAAACCCTCTGGCTATATGTAGATATACAGCACTGTAGCCTCTCTTTGTGGCAATTTATGGTGAAAGAGAGAGAGAGAGAAACCTAGGTTGAGACTGAGAGGCACAGGGTGATAATAGATTCAGAGAATTGTAGAGTTGGAAGGGACTGTAAGGTCCATTGAGTCCAACCCAGGCAAGCAGGAATCTCCTCTAGATCATACATGACAGGTGGCCATCCAACCTGTGCTTAAACTATCTGAACTATCAAGACAGTTCTTCCTGATGTTTAGTCAGAATCATCTCCTTTCTTGTAACTTGAATTCATTGGTTCAGGTCCTACCCTCCTGAACTTCCCCAATGGCCACTGAAATAGAAGAGGCACCCACACTCTCACCAAGCCCAACACTTCCCGGACACATCTTGAACACACAGTGGCACCCCACACACAGCCAGCTAGTCAATAATAACCATACAGAAATACGAATAAATCTGACAATTGATGCCAAGGGACATCACACTAGGAGGTGCCTTCTACATAAATATGCCAGGTGTGACTCATACACAGAAAAATACATACATTTAATTGTATTTTTTTTAAAAAAAGTGTTTCCATTTCAATGCATTATGAATCCTAGAGCAGCACCCATAAATTGGAATGTCCCACCACGATAGGTGCAAGAGCTGCAGCCGCAATTCAAAAATAAGTCGTTTTAACAAGAAGCCCTCTTATTCGCCAGCTTAACGCTCCATCTTAGCAAAGGAAAAGTAGAAGTAGCAACGCGAGGGCATTTCTTCGAAGCAGCTTCCAGGTCTATTGTCAGACCCCCGTTCTCTGCTGCCCTCTTCCTGCACATTCAAAAAACATGAAATCCACCAGGAAGCAGGCCCCCAGCAGGACAGCTTTCATTCTAACATCAAGGTCCAACGAGAACTTAATTCCAAAGTTGTCGGTATCGGGGAAGGCCTCTTCCAGAAAGCCAGTCCAGTGCTTAGAAATCCTTCCAACCTTGGTCTCCTCGTCCAACAACATCACCTCAAAGTTCACATCTTGACACAAGCTGCACAGTACACAGGGCCCGGTGATTTTGAGGACATCCTGATGGAGTTCATTTTGGATTGCAAATTTAGGCAGAAAGGGGTGCCAAGTCTGCTTAATGTACCCCACAGGGGTGCCTGGAGGGGCATGGACTTCAAGCTCTTGCAAGCAGCACGGAAAACAGCAGCTGGAGCACCGGAGAGGTCGCTGTAGCTCAATTACTTCCTGGCCCACATGGTCCATGATTTTTACTGTAAATGGACATGCCGCTCCACAGCAGTTTCTCGCACAGCAGTCTGTTTCCTCAACTGCCAAGTATATCCTTTGCCCCCAGCCATTTTTTATTTCGTATTTGTTGCAATTTTCAAAGCCCATTATTATTTCCAGAAGCTCAATCTGCTGGTGAACGACTATTTGATCCAAGAGACTTAAGTATTCTAATCCGGGAGGACAGCCGAGATCTGGAATGGTTGCCCGCATCCAGGTTACAGCCTGGGGGATGCAAACATCACCCATTTTTAGCTTACAACAAGATAGGGAAGATCCATAAACTCCGGGATAACCTTGCTTTATGCTCATCAGCTCTCCTGGATAAAGTAGCTCATCAGCGATGTTCTGTACACCGTGTCCAGGCATTCTCACTGGTCTGGGTCCAGCTTTTCTAACTTCTGTGGGGGAATGTTTTTGTAGCGTTTTTGTGGGTCTGTGTTCATCTGTTTCTTTGGGAGCCATGCCAGGCTCTCAATGTGCCTCTACACCGATACTGGGCTCAGGTTGCTGCCCAAGGAGGTGGGATTTACTTATTTATTTATTTTGCAACAGAGGACCAGTCAAAGGATGTGAATCTCCAACCAGGAGGCTGGAATTATACTAAGTTGAACTAAGTTCTAAACATCCATGGACCTATTGTTGAGTCACGGTGGTTGCGTGGCAATTCCCGCCCCCTCCCAGAGATGGAATAAATAAAGACACTGGACACCAGAATTTAGGTTAATGGGCGAAAAATGGCCACAACTTTATTGATTACAGGTAAGAGCGGTATTGGCTTTAGGCATTGGCCCTATCAGACTAACTGGCATAAACTGGGAAGGGTTAAGCACCAACAGGGGGAGCCCCCCAGATGCACATCCCTAGGTGCTCCCCGAGGGGTTACCGCTCAGGAGCGCGCTTTAGGCCCTAGCCTCCGTAGGTTTCGGACGAGGCGACGCCCCCCGGAGTCCTTTAACGAACTACCCTTCAACATTTGGGGGAGGTGATGGCGTTCCTCCCCCCCCAACTCATTTGCATAATAATACTCCTGCCAATGCCTAACCGCCCAAACCAAAGGTGTTGTGTCGTTTTGCTACGAGGTAGGCGAGAAAACCAAATGGCTTCCAAAATACTGCCAATTAGCCAAGTGGAAAAGCTCCTACCAGGCCCCTTGCGGCGACCAGCCGAAGCCCATAGCAAAGTCCAAAGACAACCTAGAGGGCGGGTGGGTGGGAAACCGCAGCTGGCTGTAAGAGAAGGGTGAGCACGGGCTGCCCCGACCTTAAATGAACCCTGCTAAGCCCGCCCCCACTGCCAGCCGATTGGCTGGCTCATTAAATAATGAATACTAAATGACTCCCGGGATTCCCCAAGTCCCACGGGGCTGCAGCCAGCCCCGCGAGGATGTAGGTGGGGCGTGAGCCTGCAACCCCCCTCCTTATGTCGGGAGTGGCTTTGTGTGGACATTGAACTCCCCCAGAAGTCTTAGGGTTCTCCAGAACCACACCAGAAATTACTGGGAAGCAGAGCGTGCAACACACCATCATCCCCTTCCCAAATCTGTCCCTTGGGGCCAACTTCAGATGGAGAGGTCTATGTGACGTTCCAGTGTTTGCATATAATAACGTATGTACTGTACATTGACGCGCGTGGCACTGTGGGTAAAAGCCTCAGCGCCTAGGGCTTGCCGATCGAAAGGTCGGCGGTTTGAATCCCCGCAGTGGGGTGCGCTACCATTGCTCGGTCCCAGCGCCTGCCAACCTAGCAGTTTGAAAGCACCTTCGGGTGCAAGTAGATAAATAGGGACCGCTTACTGGTGGGAAGGTAAACGGCGTTTCCGTGTGCTGTGCTGGCTCGCCAGATGCAGCTTTGTCACGCTGGCCACGTGACCCGGAAGTGTCTCCGGACAGCGCTGGCCCCCGGCCTATAGAGTGAGATGGGCGCACAACCCTAGAGTCTGTCAAGACTGGCCCGTACAGGCAGGGGTACCTTTACCTTTACCTTAAGGCGATATTGTAATACAGTGGTACCTTGGGTTACAGACGCTTCAGGTTACAGGCGCCGCTAACCCAGAAATAGTACTTCGGGTAAAGAACTTTGCTTCAGGATGAGAACAGAAATCGCGTGGTGGCAGCGGGAGGCCCCATTAACTAAAGTGGTATCTCAGGTTCAGAACAGTTTCAGGTTAAGAACGGACCTCCAGAACAAATTAAGTTCTTAACCAGAGGTACCCCTGCAGTGGTAAGTATAATAATAGAATTAAGGTAATGTTAGATAGGGAAGGGGAGAGAGTGAGCTGGAATGGAGGATTGGCTAAGAATCTGAATGCGAGGGAGGAGACAGTTGAGAGTCAGTTGGAAGTTTAGCCAGTTGGGATATGAAGCAAAATTGGCTAGATGAGTATAGGAGCAGCAGTAATACAGCAACTGCTAAACTAGAAATAAAGCAACAGATAAGATACAGGGGTGTTAGCTACCATAATGCTTATGTACACGAAGTCACCACCATTTTCTTATATATGAATTTATACGCCACCTGACAGGGACTCTAGGGTGCTTCTGTGCGTTAAACTACAGAGCCTAGGACTTGCCAGTCAGAAGGTTGGAGGTTCGAATCCCCGCGACGGGGTGAGCTCCCATTGCTCGGTCCCTGCTCCTGCCAACCTAGCAGTTTGAAAGCATGTCAAAGTGCAAGTAGATAAATAGGTACCACTCCGGCGGGAAGGTAAACGGCGTTTCCGTGTGCTGCTCTGGTTCGCCAGAAGCGTCTTAGTCATGCTGGCCACATGACCCGGAAGCTGTATGCCGGCTCCCTCGGCCAATAAAGTGAGATGAGCACCGCAACCCCAGAGTCGGTCACGACTGGACCTAATGGTCAGGGGTCCCTTTACCTTTACCTTTAAGAATATTCTGCCTCTATAAATGCAAGAGCTGCAGCAACAATACAAAAAAAACCCCTGGTTTCAACAAACAAAAAAACCCTCTTGTGAGCAGGCTTAAGACTCCACCTAAGCAAAGCAAAAACAGAAGAAACGAGAGGACTTTCTCCAAGGCATTTATAAGGCAGTAGCCTGGCCTAACCCCAGACGCCCATTCGCTGCCGGCCTCCTCCCGCGGATTCAAAAAACATGAAATCCACCAGGAAGCAGGCCCCTAGCAGGACAGCTTTCATTCTAACATCAAGGTCCAACGGGAACTGGACTCCAAAGTTGTCAGTATCGGTGAAGGCCTCTTTCAGAAAGCCACTCCAGTGCTTAGAAATCCTTCCAACCGCTGTCTGCTCATCCAGTGACAGCACCTCAAAATTAATATCTTGGCAGAAGCTGCACACTATACAGGGCCCGGTGATTTTGAGGACATCCTGATGGAGTTCATTTTGGATAGTGAATTTAGGCAGAAAGGGGTGCCACGTCTGCTTAATATACCCCACAGGGGTGCCTGGAGGGGCATGGACTTCAAGCTCTTGCAAGCAGCAAGGGTAGAAGCAGCTGGAGCACCGGAGAGGTCGCTGGAGCTCAATCACTTCCTGGCCCACGTTGTCCATGATTTTAATGGTAAATGGCCGCAATGTTCCACAGCAGTTTCGTGTGCAGCAGTCGGTGTCCTCAATCGCCGAGTAAACCATTTGCCCCCATGCGTTTTTTACTTCATACTTGTTGCTGGTTTCAAAGCCAATGATGATTTCCAGAAGCTCAATCTGTTGATGAATGATCATTTGATCAATCTGGCTTAAATATTCCAATCCTGGGGGGCAGTTGGGAAGTGGAGGTGGAGCTGGCATCCAAGTTATAGGACGTGCATATCTTTGACCTGAAGAGAAGAAGAGTTTGGATTTGATATCCCGCTTTATCACTACCCTGAGGAGTCTCAAAGCGGCTAACATTCTCCTTTCCCTTCCTCCCCCACAACAAACACTCTGTGAGGTGAGTGGGGCTGAGAGACTTCAGAGAAGTGTGACTAGCCCAAGGTCACCCAGCAGCTGCAAGTGGAGGAGCGGGGAATCGAACCCGGTTCACCAGATTACGAGTCCACTGCTCTTAACCACTACACCACACTGGCTCTCACTGACCTGGGGGAGCTCCATAAGCTCCTTGAGGACGCTGGGGTGTGTTCATTAGCGGTCCTGGATAATGTGGCCCAGGGGCTTGTTGACTGTCCCATCCTGCATTGCCTGTGGTGTAGGGCCAGCTTTTCTATGAGCTTGCGGGGGAAACTGTCTTGGTGGCATTTCTGTGAGTTTGTAAACATCTGTTTCTTTGGGAGCTGTGTTGTTCTTTCAATGCACTGTTTCGCAGTTACTGGGCTCAGGTTGCTGCTAAGCAAAGGGGGAATGGTTTTTTGAAGGAGGACCATTCAGATGATGTGAGCCTCCACCTGCAGACTGAAATGGTATAGCCCATACACAAGTTGAACTAAGCATCCATGGGCCTGTTGTTGAGTCACAATGGTTGCAACTGTCATTGTCCTCTTTCGATCCTTAAGCTGGACCTATGAAGCAGTGCCAAGGAACTTCTCTCTCTCTCATGCACACACACACACACACACACACACACACGTTTCAAATAAAGGATTTGAATGAAACACTGCATGTCAAATTAAGGGTACCTGATTTCCCTCAGGCTTGCAAATGAATAACTGATTTCCCTCTGGGTAGCATGGCTACAACCATTAATCAGTAAACACTGTGTAAATGTTTGCAAAGTAACAATTTAGCACCGTAGTGTGAATCAGCAATGCAATCCATCAGATGATTTGCCCATAATATGACTGTTAATCTACATTTGGCATTGCTAATTAAACTGTTTGGGTTTTGCAGAAAGCAAGCCCCACTGGCACAGGAAAGAAGTAGCTGAGAAAAATCACAACTTATTGCAAATGGAATAAGATGTATATGTGCGCGTGCACGCGCGCATTATGCCTATTTGTGGATTATGTAACGCCACTCATGCAAATGGGGTTTTACAGAGTAGAAAAGAGAGGCTGAACTATAACATGATACCCATTAATTTGCAAATAATTTTGTGGGTCAGCTTGGACCAGAAACTATTTAGGTTGCATCGCACACTTTTATACCATCCAACAAACTTATTCTATGGAACTGGTCCACCAACCCTCTTCCAGGTGCTCCTGCTTTTGGAGGTTAGGTGGATAACTACTAGAGAAAGACCTTCTCTGTGGTGGCACCCAAATTACCCACAAGAAGCTGCCTTATATTATGTCAGACCGTTGGTCCATCTGGCTCAGTATCCTCCATTGGTTCAACTGGCAAGTCACCAGAACCCACTACTAGATTGCAACTTGATCTAAGGTGAGGCACAGCAGTAGAACTGCCACCTTGCAAATATATGGTAATAATGATGATGATGATGATGATGTTTTGGCTAAAGGTGGGGACCAGATATGAAAATGTTCAAGACTCTGTTGAAGACAGTGACTCTTCAGATTTTCCGATAGGTCTCCCTTTCCAGCTCCACCTGGAGATGGCAAGGATTGAACCTGGGACTTCCTGTAGATGAACCATGGCCCTACCTGTATCTACCTAACACCTCCTTTGCCATCTTTTAGGCACAAGCCATTCCTACCTTGCTCTGGATGGCTGTTGGAGTACAATCCTAAACATGCCTACTCAATCAGAAGTGACCTTCATTGAATTGACCTTGCCTTATAAATGGTGCGTGGATGGTCCTTCCACCTAAATGAGAGAGGGAGATAGATAACGAATATATTTCATGTTCATAATATGTGTGAAAGGATATATGTCTTCAGCTATGCATCTTGTCCCTGAGGAACAAATCACAACTGACCACTCTGCTTATCTGCTCTCTGCTTTAGCAGGTTATCCACTGCTTGAAAAGGAGCCCAGGAAGAAGGTGGCACCAGAACTCATCACACCAAGGTTACTTAAACATTTTTATATCACCAGTCTAAAACAGTACTAGAGATGGTACCCTAAATCCACATGTTTCCCCTCCTTATTTTCCCTGGGCCAGATCAAATGTCGCATTCTCCTGCTCATGGCTGCTACCAAAAAGCCATTTCTTATGATGGGATGTAATGTTTAAATGCATGCATTAGGAAAAGTAATGTTTCACTCGTGCTTATGCCAGCGCTGTGCATGGGTAACATATACTACATGGCAAAAAAGCTGTCTTTTGCAGTAGTGGAGCCTGAGCTTTGCAACTTCCTCCCACAAAGATCCACCTGTTGTTGTTTAGTCGTTTAGTCATGTCTGACTCTGCGTGACCCCATGGACCAGAGCACACCAGGCACTCCTGTCTTCTACTGCTCCCGTAGTTTGGTCAAGCTCATGTTGGTAGCTTCGAGAACACTGTCCAACCATCTCGTCCTCTGTCGTCCCCTTCTCCTTGTGCCCTCAATCTTTTCCAACATCAGGGTCTTTTCCAGGGAGTCTTCTCTTATCATGAGGTGGCCAAAGTACTGGAGCCTCAGCTTCAGGATCTGTCCTTCCAGTAAGCACTCAGGGCGGATTTCCTTCAGAATGGATAGGTTTGACCTTCTTGCAGTCCATGGGACTCTCAAGAGTCTCCTCCAGCACCATAATTCAAAAGCATCTATTCTTTGGCGATCAGCCTTCTTTATGGTCCAACTCTCACTTCCATACATCACTACTGGGAAAAGCATAGATTTAACTATATGGACCTTTGTCGGCAAGGTGATGTCTCTGCTTTTTAAGATCTACCTAGCACCACGTAAAGACCTGGGAATTCACCCAAGTCTTGGATGTGGTAGGATGCCAGGTGGAATGCTTTTTGTGGCTGTGATTTACTTGCCTAGTTTTATGCTGTTATCTTTTATGTTGTGTGTGTCTTATTGCTACCTACTTCGGAATTGTTGCTTGAAATGAAAGAGCAGGTCAGAAAAATTTAAAATAAATAATAGATGCTATGGGGGTGGGGCATTTCTAGGTGGGTTGCACAATGTAGAACAAGTTAGAGCCACTTGATTGCTCTAGGAAGCAAGGATGAATGGGTAGCTCCACGTCTAGTCTGTGCCAATTCTGCATGTGTTTATTCCTTCTATCCCGTTTCTACATTAATACACCATTTTTAAAAACCTACATGAAAACCCATACTCATATTTTTAGCATGGTTGTCTCATTTTTTGATATATTTTATCCAAAAATGCCTGTTGTTGTGCATAACTATTTTGCTAAATTTTGGAAAAGCATGTAGGGTAATTTCGTTTGCCCTAGGCATTATAACCCCTTGGAAATAGCATGTGTATGTTAGAATGTAATTATACATGCCTTAGCATAGATACCAGATAAAAGCAAAGTCACTGGTCCATCCAGAACTCTCCACATCAGAGTTAGGGAACCTGTGGCCCTCCAGATGTTGCTAAATGTTTATATATTTTCTGTATAAATACCGTATTTTTCGCTCTATAACACGCACCTGACCATAACACGCACATCGTTTTTAGAGGAGGAAAACAAGGGAAAAAACATTCTGAATGAAACAGTGGATGTATCATTTTTGTGCTTCATGCTGTGGCCACAGACATGTGATCTGATGGTGAATTTGAGGTGACCCAATGCAAAAATCCTGAGAATTCCTGTGGATCCATGCTTTGTAACCACGTTTTTGCACCATTGCAGCCCCAGGCAACAGTGGGTGCGTGATTCTTTTGGTGCAGGCTGTAGCCATGGACATGCTATGTGATCTGATGGTGAATTTGGGGTGACCCAATGCAAAGATCCTGAGGATCCATGTGGATCCATGCTTTTTAACCACATTTTAAGTGGGGAGCGAAGGAAAAACAAAGAAGGGACATGAGAGGGGTGTGCAGAGAAGCAGCTGGCTAAGAATGCAGGAGAGGGATTTAACGGGAGGGAGAAAAGAAAGGCAAAAGTTTCCCCCCACCCAAGCCAGCCATCTCTCTCTCTCTCTCCCTCCCCCCCTCTCTCTCCCTCCCCCCTCTCTCCCTCCCCCTCTCCCCCAGCAGCACCGGAGCACAGAGAGGAATTAGAAGGAACACACTCTGCTTTCCCCTCTGCTTGCCTGGAGGGGAGGGGCCTTCCCTGCTCTTTGTTCCGTTTGAGCAAACACAGCAACGAAACAGAGGAGGGTGGGCAGTAAGACCCTGAGGCAGAATGCAGGAAAGCAGCCGCTTCCTCTTTTCAGGTTTCCCTTCTCCGTGAAGCGCGATTTGATTTTTGCCTGATTTTTCGGCTCCAGGGACCACACATTCGCTCAATAACACGCACAGACATTTCCCCTTCCTTTTTAGGAGAAAAAATCTGCGTGTTATAGAGGGAAAAATACGGTAAGTAACTACAAATCTGTCCGTCATAAATGTTCCACAAGGCTTCTTGTTGCACTAACAGCAACAGACCAACAGAACTATCCACTTGGGAACTTGCTGTCTTGTGGTCTTCTGCCAGATGTCTGAGTAACAGGATTTTTGCTATTATTGTCATAGATGCACAGATGCTTTTCTGGACCACGAGACCTCCTACGAATGTTGCTCCACCAACCCCTGCACAGGCTGTGTCTTGGCTTGCCGCCGGAGCCCTCGGCTTCTTACTAACGGCTACTACTTACTCACAGAGGACAGTTTTCTGTCGGATGAAGATGGCAACGTCACGCTGAGTCTATCCCAAACAAGTGTTACCTATAAAGAGAAATTAGTTAGGTAAATGTGACCTCGTGTATAAGTTCTATTGGAGAAGCAAGTGCCTTCCACACATTCTGCAAGACCAATGTTACTGAATCCTGTTCAGTTATTTTCATGCACCATCTCCCTCCTTATAGGAGGCCTTCTCAAAGGAATTAATTACTATATAAACCAGCCTATGAGT